AACGGCCCATTTTCCCAGCTCGGCCCAATTTAGGTACAAATTACCCTCTCAGTAGATGTATTAGCAGAAGTACTAAATGATGGCATCCATCTCTCTCCTACTGATCCATACTTGCTGCAAATAACTTGCTTCCACAATGAATCATCCTCCAAGGCAAATCTCCACCACCATTTAACCAGCAAGCTTTGATTTGCAAACCTTGTATCTCTAATCCCTACAAAAAAATTTATTTATAGTAATTTTTTAACTTTTTATCTATAAAAAAGTGATGTGATAATTTATAGTAATTTTTTAACTTTTTATCTATAAAAATTTATTTTTTATTTATTTTTGATTTTTTTTCTTGAAAAAACGTGTAAAAAATAGAAAATGGATGTGATCCAAAAAATCAAAAAGCAAAAAAGTCACTTTTAATTATGTTCTCAAAACAAGCCAAATTCTACTTCCCAAACAAGCCTTGGGCCCATCCATTCTGGATTAGCTGTTTGAGGTTGGTAGAGTGGGCTCACTGCAATTGGTTTGGTTTGGGCTAATTTAATTTTCTTTTGGGCTTAAACAAATATAGAGATATTGTGAAATTATTTAAAATGTTCAATTACTCTCAAATAATTATAGAAATTTTGTAGGTAATGATGTGTTCAATATAAATCTTTTATTTTAAAAGAAAAAAATTGTGTAAAGATAGTAATTTTATTTATAAGAAACTGTTATATATATATATATATATATAAATTTTCCTCCAAGACTCTCCTTTAAAAAAAAAATATTTTAAAATCAAGAACTATGTTGATTGTTGCCCCAGATGCCCGTGAGTTGTGACACTAGCTAATTATATGGGCACACAAAAAAAATAAAAATAAATAATACTCTAGTTTACAACTAAAAAAAACAAAAAACAACAACAATGATTTAGAGCACTAAAAAATACATTACTAATAGCACTAATATATTGGGAATGACAAAAAAATAATAAAAAAATAAAAACAAAGCATAGAAAGTAGGCGGGACCCACTACCATATCATTAGTGCTCTATTTAGTGATCCCCTTTTAGTGCTCTCAAGCATTTTTCCAAAAAACAAAAAGACCCTAGTTTTAGGGCAGTAAGCCTAGAACAAGAAGAAAATAGTGAACCCTAAACCAAATTCGACGTACACACTGTAAGACATATGGAAAAAAGTGACTTGTATCTATATATCTTAGAGGAGCCTCTAAATAGATTCAAAAATTTTAGTAGACATCCCACAATTGATTTTTTTTTAATATCATTAAAATATCAAAGTCAATTTATCAACAAGAACAAAGTTTGCGTTTGGTAGAACTTTCTAAATATGATTTGAGAATAGAAGTTATATTTTGAGTTTGTGAATTTTGAAATTATGATTTGAGTGTGAAAAATTTATTTAGTGAAAGAGTTTTGAAGAGAGTTTTGAATTGAGTGAGAAATTTTTGATGTGACATATGATATTTGATACAAAAACTTACAATTCATAACCAAACATACAACTCAAAATTTTATTAAAGCACATAATTTTTTTAAAAAAATTCAGAAAATATTTTTTTCGAATATATAAAAATTAACATATGTCAATTGCAAAAAAAAAAAAAAAATTATTTACACTGTTCCGGTTAGCCGGCCGGACGACTGGTGAGACGTTTGGTAGGACGACCAGTTAGTCCAAATTTTTCTGCCTTCGACCGGGTTTTTAAAAGTGAGTGAAATTATGATTTGAAACTCCTAAACAAACGTGAAGCGCGAATGATATGGTGGAATTGTATTTTGAGAATACAACCAAACAGAGCCTAAGAATTTGATTATTGTAATAAAATAAATTTTTAGTTATTATTAAACTTAGTGAAAAATAATATTTTAGACATTTTATTTACACTTTACATTGAATTTAATGACTAAAATATATTTTTCGCTTCAATTTTATTTAAAGGAAGTATGTTTATGGTCTAGATTTAAAATAAATCAAAATATTATAATTTAAAAATTAAAATTCATTTTGTTACTTTTTTATTTAATTTATAATTTTTCATATATAATTTAAGGGTGATTCTATTTACACACCATAATTTCTCTCAGTGCACACTATTTACTATTTTTTTAATTCATATTGTATCTCTCAACAAAATTACTCTTTTAGACATTACCCAAAATTTCTCAATTCACACACCACAAAAGCCACAACCACAACCACCACCGACCACATCCACCACCATCACCATCGGCCACAGCTATCGCCTTTACCACTACCCTTTTCACTGCATCCATTTCTTCTTTTCCTAAATTTAAGGTTCAAGTTGGGATGTTAGACCTAGGTGCAGGATGGCGGTGATAGCCATGACCACCAGTCATCTCTTTTGCTTTTTCAAATCGCTCTTTCTCTTTTTCTCTCTCTCTCTCTCTCTCGTTGTCTGGTGAAATCCTAGAGGTGGAAGGATTACAGAGGTGTCAGGTTGTGGTAGTAGGGTAGTTATGGTCGATTATAATGGTACTTGAAGAGGGAGTAATGGTTGAGAGCCAGGTTGGGAAAGGACTAGAGAAGGGCAACGAGACAGGGGAGGTCGATCACTGAGGTGATGGAAGGAGGGACAGCGAAGGATGGTTGCAAATCGGTGGTGGATTGAGAATAATGCAGAACGATAGTGGGAGGGTGTTGGAAACAATGTGGCAGTGAAGGGAGGAGTTAGGGAGAGCTAGTGGCTAGGGAGGGGATGGCAACGGACGGTTGTTAATTTCGGTGGTGGCAACGATAGCAATGGGTGGTGATGCTAGGTCAGGGTTTGAGTTTGTGATTAAGAAAGAAAAGGCATTTTGGTATTAAATATAAATTAATGATGGGAATTGAGAAAAAAATTAAAATATTCAAATGAAATTTGATGTGTACTAAATAAATGATGTGCTGAGAGGTTGGGTGGTGTGTAAATATAATTTCCTATAATTTAATAGTTCAAATTAAAATTAACATCATACATTCTAAACCGATATAAGTTTATATAATTTTTTTTAATTCATTTTGTTAAATATAAACGGTTGAATTACTACAATAAGATCATGATTTCTCTTTTAATTTATATGATTTTTATAAAAGATAAATTGCATTATTAGTCTCTATATTTAAGTGAGATTTTATTTTAGGCCTTATACTCTTAATTGCATTGATTTTAGCTCTACTTTTTATTTTCATTTTAATATAGACCCTTCGTTAAAATTCATCAAAAATATTACCAAAATTATTCAAAGGGGAAGTGACATTTACAACAATGTAAGATTAATGTAATTGAAATTGAAATTGTAAGAATTAAAGTAAAATCTCACCTAAAATATAAGAACCATTAACGTAAATTATTTATTTATTTATATTATTATTTTAAACAGAGTTTTAATTCATTTGATGATAACTATTATCGTTAATAGAAATAATATAGCCAGGCAAAGATACAATATTTTCTTTAAAAAAAATAACATCAAATACACAATATTTTATATTTTATTAATCATAATTACATCTTACATTTTATAAAATTTTAAATCGACAAACAAATTAGCCCATTGTTATCTTAAAATGGAACTACGTGGACTAGCTAGCTGGAAGAATTGCTTTTTGCCGTCTCCCTTTTCCTTCTCTCTAGCACCAAGGTTGCCACACCTTTCTTATGATTTAAAAGTTCTCAGGTTATTTATAAAAGTAAGCTAACAAAATGTTCAATCAGCTACTGTGTTTCTTAAACCCATGGTAGCAAACTCAGCTAAATAACCATTAACCATAAAATATTTTAGATTTTGACGATGAAAGATGATTCTTAGATTTAGGATGAATCCAAGAGAAAAGTGATAATATAGATCAACAAAATCATATTAAAGAAATTTATTTAAAACAATAGCAACATAGTTCCTTGTCGAGAAAGAGGGGTAAATAAAAGAAAAAGAAGAAAATGATAACAATTACTACCTGATTATAAATAGAATTTTAACTCAAAGTTGGTTATTAATTAGAAACCAAAAATGAGATGCAACTAACAATCAAAAACTCAAAACTGGATTTGATATGATTTAATTGGTATTTTCAACAAAAAACATTAATGTAAGCACCAAAATTTACAAATTAGTAATTAAGCATAATATGCAGACGTCTATACAAATAAATGGTGCCTGTTATCGAGTTTCATTACTACTTACAGGCCACCAATCATGATTCTCATTCAAAATTTTAATATAATTTTTCTAAAATATCAGTCACTCTCACTCAATTAAAGTTCATTGACCATTCAATAACAATTGGCCCATATACTCTGATTCTTGATATCAGCTAAGGCAAAACCATGTAGGGAAGAGTTTCTTTGTTAGACTGTTTGACACACACTATGTTATCAACTCAGAATGTCCTTAATTTTACCAAATATTACCAAAAATGTTCTTAGGTCATAATAAATGAAGTTATGAGTTCATAGAAACATTAAATCAATCATTTAGTACAAAAGCAAACAACCCATTTCAAAATCAAGCTAAACGATATAACTTGAGTAGAATTTCCCTAAATTCTTTTACCCATATATCATTTCCTGCATGTAAATGATATATGGATAAAATAAGAAAATGATCTTATTTTAGTTATGACTCTTGAGATCATTGGTTATGCCTCATGTGTTGTTTGGTTATTGTTTATTTTATTTTATTTTTTTTTAAGTTGTGACTCAGAAAGTATGAAGTTATTCCATTTTCTTCTTTAGTTATCAGGTGCATACGGTACACACCCTTCATATGTACCATAGTCTTTCCCAAGAATTCAATCTATTTTCAAATAGAATCAGGATGGGTGGATGTCTGGAATGGAGAGTCTATGTGAGACTCAATCCAATAAAGACCAAGAAATATACTCAAGAACAAATTTCATTAAGAGCTTCATTGTAGAAATCAGACATAATCATTAAACAAAGAGTGATGAAATCCTTAAAGGGCCCTACTTGTAGAATTGTATGGAACAGAAAATCAATATATTCCTCAAAAAGGACATGGCTCAAGTTATATTCAATAAACAATATGCAGGTTATAAATAGTCGACTATTACTTGCAGAATAGGTTACAAATAATAAAATACTTGACTACAACTTAAAACATGTCTAAAACACTTACCCCTAGGTTAATTGGGATGCCACCCAAATACTAGCTAGGCTTCAAAACTACTGTCCAGTCAAAAAAAAGAAAAAGAAACTGCACTCAAGTAGTTGGGATGTGGCTTTGAATAATGCCAACTAATGACCAATCCATGTAGCCAACCCAAAGAAAATGGGGTTAAGGCTTGCTGAGTTGAGTCGAAAGCAAACTCAGGAACAAGATATCCACTAAGATATTTTAGCCTCTAACAATCAATGAATTAAAAAAAAATATTTAAAAAAAACCTAAGAATTATGGAACCACGACATATGCTAATCATCAGTATAACAATGTGGTCACTTAGCAGAGTCGGAATGACAGAGTGCCATGTTTTGTACCAACTCATATGCTGGACCAGCCAAAGCCACCTTCTCATCAGAAATCTTGATGGCATGCTTTTGCTCATCAAGTACCTTATCTGAGAACCTGATATTTGAAGCATCTGGTGTAATGTTACCAGACTTGATTCCCCTCTTAATTTCCTCTATTTCCTATTCACAGTGTTGTTTATTTTGCTGTTGGATATCTGCTCATAAACAAAGTCAGTAAACGCTTGTTTAAGAGTTTTGTAAGGGGAGACAATATGATCCCATGCATTGTCCAAATAAAAAAAAACAAAATGAGCTGCATACACTGATATACATAAAACAGAGAAAAAAAGATCTCTAAGGTCTTGGCTCAGGTCATCAACCGGTGTGGTACAGATTGATTAGGGCCCTAGGCTTAAATCTTGCCTAGCAGCATGAGAACAAGAGAGAAACACCAACAATTGACAGAATTATAACTTCACACATGCATATGCAATTATAACTTCACATATGCAATTATTATAACCAATATCCCCTCCCCATATTACACTCCTAAAAAGTTTTATTATCTTTATTTACTTATTTATTATGTATTCTACGTTTTATTTATTTATTTTTGGACAGGTGGAGTTCATCCATCACAGCATAATCAGTTTGTCAATTGCGTCTCTGGTTTCTTGCTCTAACCCAATATGTGCTTATGTAGTTCAACCTACAGCTGCTGAATGCTCTTCACAGAGTAATCAGTGTGGTGATTTATTTCAGTATGGAGATGGAAGCGGGACATCTGGTTATTATTTAACTGATTTGCTGTGTAAGTTTTATGTATAAATAAAGAGAAAGAATTGTGTATTAAAATGTTGTATTGAATGTTGTTGATTGATGTGTTAATTGATATATATTACAAGGATTTATATAGGAGAGGATTTGGGAGTAGGTGAAGGTGGTAGTGGAGGTGGTAGGTGGAGTGGGAGTGAAGGTGGTAGTGGAGGTGGTAGGTGGAGTGGGAGTGGTAATTTACATTTACTTTTACAATTTACATTAACATGCTGTATTTAAAATTTTTACTCAAATATGGCGGCTTCTTTAGTCGCTAACTCTTCTGCTCCAATTGTTTTTGGGCAAGTTGTTAATGTTAATACTGTTTGACACACCCTATGTTATCAACTCGGAATGTCCTTAATTTTACCAAATATTACCAAAAATGTTCTTAGGTCATAATAAATGAAGTTATGAGTTCATAGAAACATTAAATCAATCATTTAGTACAAAAGCAAACAACCCATTTCAAAATCAAGCTAAACATTGATATAAAACTCAAAAAAAAAAACTAAATCAAAGATCTAACAAAACATAACACACCAATTCCCAATTCAAATGAATTGATTGAGTTCGGATACCAAAATAGAGAGGGAGAAACACAGAATCAAAGAGAGATCAGAGTCCATGAACACTCACCTGAACCCACTTGTTTGACTCTTATGGATATATTGTCAAACAGATGATGTGTGAAATTCGTGAATGCAATAACAAACACCAAGACAATACAAAAACATAAAAATCTAATATCAAAATCTCTACATAGAAGAAAAAAAAAAGAAAAAAATTGCATACCAAAAAATCATATACTCCGATTTGAGAGTTGGTATCGCATAATATATATATATATATATGGTTTTATATAATCGGTCATCGACTCACCGCCACAGAAAGCTCTGTAGCCAAATGACATGGAAGTCATCAATTGGATACTAATTCGGTACACTCTGCAGATTTCTTTTCCAGCACACGGGATCAATTTTCTTGCAGCACCAATGCTGACAGTGGTGGGAAGAACAGGGTAACAACAAGTCCATCCAGAAGATATGTATATCTTGTGAGAAATCATGTTACAAGAACACATGGCATGGAAAGCAAAATCCCCTGCTGTTCAAAGGGATAAAATTTGTTTTCTTCTTCATTGTCGGCGTGGATAATTTGAATTCCACGTGGGTAACCCAAAATCTGCAAGAAAATTTGCAGGGAGGAGCTTTGGTAAATAGGCAAATAGCAGATCGCTGTTTTGGGAAATTTCTAGGAAGAATGGTATTGGAAGTGAAGCTTCGTGTCTTTTCTACTGTCGTATGTGTGGCTAAGTTGAAGGACACGTAACCCGCCCAAATCCACTTTACAAACCAAAGAAGCTACAGAGGTACACTAATAAGCACTAGCACTAATATTTGCCCACTAAATAGTAAATAGCATTTTATTTTTTAAATTTAGTTCTGATGACTAAATCTCTATGGTTTCTGTCTGGTTATTCATTTTCAGGATTTTTCATCTCTTATATTAGGATATTATACAAGATTCAAAGTACACAGAGAGTTAAGGGGAGGAGGAAACCCAACTTCATTTGCAGTAAAATATGGGTAGAAGTTATCACAAAACCAAGAGTAAAAGATGGGTTTCTTGTCGCTCTTGGAGGTGACTTCAATGCCAATACTGCAAGTGCTCATAATCAACGTATTAGGAGCTTTTCATGGCAACAGATTATCTCAATCTTCTTCCCACTGCCTCACACAAGTCCCTCAACAAGATAAGACACCTCACCCTGACATCATTCATGTAGTTAATTTTAATATTTAGTAAGCTTTCACACACTCAATGACCAGTGACCACTTTATATATATATATTGTTGTTGTTATTGTCAGGCAACTACTTTTTCTATATAAATTTATGACTGAAGGAGTGCTCCACAGTATTGGGGATATACTCAAAATCTCCTTAAGAGATTATATTCAGCAATTCACTACTGATATTACTACTGCCATTTGTTTTGACAAAAACTAACATAGTATTGAAAATATTATTCTCACATCATTCTAGATGCATTTGTATAATTTTTTTTTTTTAAATACTAGACTTCTTCTCTAATTTATTCTCACATCATTCCAAACCCTAAAAACCTTTTATGTTTTCAAAGCCAACATGGGATGGGCAAATGTTTGTGGTATGGGTTAGGTAACAGTAGCTCAAAGGTGTCATAATATTTATTACTACCAATGGTTCATAAAATTTACACCAATATAACCACAATGGTTGAAATTTAACAACAATAATTTTCTTTTTACAAATACCCTACTGCGTAGTTTTCATCAGCTACAATTTTGAACCCAAAGGGGAAATCCAATGAAATCATCTTGTTGATTAGAGTGGTAAAAAAAAATTCTAGATAGGGAAAACAAACTAGTAAAAAAGCAAGGTTGTCATCATCCATCAATGAAAGTGTTAGAAATTGATGTATTATTATTGATTGATATGTATATATTGATTGATATTATTGATGTATTGTATGTACATTATATAGGAGATGTGAAGTGGAGGTGGAATGGTGGAGTAGGTGAAGTGGAGTGTGTAGTGGAGTAGGTGAAGTGGAGGTGGAGTGGTGTAGGTGAAGTGGAGGTGGTAGGTGGAGAGTAGGTATGTTTACAATTTACATTAACAGCCCCCCTCAAACTCAAGGAGGATAGGTACTAGCCAACTTGAGTTTGGAGAGAGTAACAAAACAGGAAAGTAAACTGATAAATAAAATAAAACAGGATAGGAGACACGGTATGGTCGTGTCAGACCGATGTAGCAGACAGTTTATGGGGTCATGTCGGACCGATGTAGAAGACAGTTTACGGGGTCATGTCGGACCGTTGTAGAAGCTGACCGGAATCAAAGTCGGGACAGTTTACGGGGTCATGTCGGACCGTTGTAGAAGCTGACCGGAATCAAAGTCGGGACAGTTTACGGGGTCATGTCGGACCGTTATAGAAGCTGACCGGAATCAAATGTCGGGACAGTTTACGGGGTCATGTCGGACCGTTGTAGAAGCTGACCGTGGTGCACCAAGGGGGTGACTTAGGGAGTGCGCCATAGGCGACTTATACATGATACTGTGTATAACCCCCCCTCAAACTCAAATAGGTGTGAAGATAGAAACCTATTTGAGGTTGAAACAAAGGGATTGATAAAAGCTGACCGTTGTAGAAGACACTGGATGAGTGTGTATATAGGCTGCCCAAAAGATATACATGGATGTAGATATCGAGCCCTCAAAAGTCGTGCCCTCAAAAGGTGTGCCAGCGTGCCCCACTTTATCAAAAGATTGTGCCATGAAAAGGCCGTGCCAGTCTTGTCGGGCTGTCAAGAGGCGCGCGTATGCGCCGTGGCTGCTCGGCTATTTAACCAAGACGGAGCCTGAGGCCGCAGGCAGAGGCCAAAAAACCTGAAAAAAATAACAATAAAAAACAATAAACTGCCGAACAATCCTTCTTGAAAAATTCTCTGCCCGTTTTTGAGAGAGAGACTCATGTAACACTGTGTTCCAGAACAATGGCTTTGTTCGTCCCGTGGTCTGCTCACTCTCTTTTCCCGACCTCAACGATGTCAACAAGAGAGTGAATAACGGGTTGCGGTGGCCCCTGAACCTCAAACCAAGCGGCCCCCAGGGTTTGCTCCGCCTTGAACTTTCCGATGCGGTCTGTGGAGCAAAGAAGGCAGCTGCAGTCGGATGTGGAAGCCCCAATCAGTATACATGAAGTCATGTTGTGTGAAACCATTGACTGCCGGTGACAACTGTGTCGAACCGAATCTCTCTCTTTTT